GGGGGGGGGTGTACTCATAGTCGTGCATGCCGTAGTCGTTAGACCATTGACCTCGCATCCCTACAAAGCCGGGACGGAGCACGCCGGGTTCTCACCGGACCAGGCTCTCACATCACCAAGCGCGAAGCGCCGTGAGGTATTCGGCGAGTCGCATGAAGGTTGCGCTGCATCCTGCCAAGGGTGTTCGGCATCTTGTGCTTACTTCCTTGCGTACGGATGACAGCTGCGTATGAATTAATTTATTTTCTGGTGCTTTCACTTCCAGAGACAGTTGTAAGCACTGTGTAACTGCCTCGAGGGTGCTTGACCATTTTAACACAACGTGGTGCGATCATCCCCCTTGCGCGGAGTGAGGGTTCTCCACCCCGCACAACATGATCTACTCGACCACCATTATGGTTACCGCCAAAAAAAAAAACGGAGGAAAAAAAAAAAAACGGTAACCTGGTTGCCGAGTTCACGAAGTGAATTGGCTTGTTTTACAACGTCGTTGCCAAGCGACGAAACCCCCATCCCGATGGCAAAACACCGGGGGGGGGCGGCTTGTTTTACAAAGTCGTTGCCAAGCGACGAAAACCCAACCCCGATGGCAAACACCGAGGGAGGGAGGAGGCGGGGCGGGGGCATTTGAGAGGCACCTCGCAGAGAACCGGCAGACGGCGTCCCGTCCGCGATCATGGTCGTGAGATCAGAGCCGGCGGAGATTTTTTCGAGGGAGAGCTCAGGAAGATGTGCCCCAACTCCTCCTTGGAGTTCACCTCTGCATACAGCCCAGCATACAACGGTGTCGCTCGGATCAAGGACACCGCACCTTCATCAGAGAATAAATCGCCATTTGAAACGTGGCACGGGCACCTGCCCCCGCCGGGGGCGACCTACCCGTTTCTCAAACCCGCCATATACAAGGTCAAGCGCAGACGCAAGTCCGCGCCGAAAGCCCAAAATTGGTTCTACCTCGGCCCGGGAATCAACCACGTGAGTGCGTGCGCATCCTGAATGAAGAACGCAAAGCGATCACCACTCGCAACCTCACCTGCCAACTCGCACCCGCCGCCCCCACCGCGCTGCCCCAGTCACTGCCTCCCACCGCAGAGGAGGAAGAGGAACCCATGACTGGGGAGGACGAGGTCAGGGAGGGTGCGTCATGCCAAGGTGGAGGGAGGGCGGAGGGAAGACCTGTGGATGGAGGACCAGGTTTCAACCTTGGCACGACGGAAGCCCGGAGCCCGCGGGGCCGCCCGCGCGCGATGGGCCGCCGCCGCCGCCGGCCGCGCCCCAAGAGTCGGGCGCAGGTGACGCAGGCGATGGTACCCCCTCGAGCGGGGAGGGCGCGAGCGTCGTCCTCTCCACCACGTCGGCCGGCATGGCCGATGCAGCCGCAGCAGCAGTCGCGGTAGCGGCGTCGGCGGCGGCGGCAGCGACGACGGCAGCGACATCGGCAGCAGCAGCAGCAGCAGCAGCATCTCCCATCGCTCAGTGGGCCAAAGGCCCGGAGGCTCGCCCGCAAAGAAGCCGGCGGATCTCACCAGCCGCCGCATCAGGGAGAACCCCCGCCGAAACCCGAGGTACGCGTCGCCGCCGTCCCCGCCAAGTGCCGAGGCCCAGCTCGCCTCGGTGACGAGCCCGCCCATGAACAGCGCGGAGGAGTTCACCATCTTCCCCAGAAGCGAACAGATCGTCAATCGGTGCCGTATCGATCTTGTCCTGATCCCGAAGATGGGATGTTTAGGCTTCACGGAAATCAACTTTTAAGCCCCTGTATCGCGCGGCGGAATAAGCCGATGTATCGAGCCGGTTTTTTACCTCCTGGAACGGAGGGAAAAGAGCGGTAGCGCTTCGCGCTCGGCGGCTCATCGTAAAGATTGAAACGAGGAAAATTGTACATACAATGCCTATTTCACTTGTTGGAAGTATGCATGAGCCACGCGATATGATCGAGGTTTGCTCGCCAGAGTGGCGCATGTTGGAAGATGACAGACTCAAGCCGGCGGGAAAGCGCCAACGCCGCGCCGAGGAGAAGCAGACCCTCTCGTATCTATAATATTACAGTATCGTGCGGCAATGTTTTGGTCATTGCTACCCCGGGTTTACTACGCGATAATGTGAAACAAGAACATGTCCACATAATTCCTCGGAGAGATTGCCATTTAGTATCTCCATGGAGATTGCCGTGGAAAATCTCATCGATAGCATAGAGTCCATGGAACTTTCCATAGAGTCCCATGGAGCCCTACGCATTCCATGGCCCGTTTTATGGTACTATATGTGGGGCCCCAGAGACCTCAATGGAATTCCGTGGAAGTGACAAAGACGTGAACGATTGTTGGCTTTCTAAACGCCGTCATAGTCGGACACTACATCGTCAAATGGATGGAACACGCACCACGCAGTGATATTTAGAAGATAGATGTGAAAAAATTGGCTCTGTTTGTTGTCGGGCTCGTTCAAGTACGTTCGAAAGCTCTGCATGGAAAGCATGATAAATATGAGGGAACCGCGTTCAGCTGCGCGAGACGAGGAACCTACTTGTTCGAACAAAACCGCCTACTACTCAGTTTCGTGTGAGAGGGCCCTCGTCATTCATGGTAAGGTATCCGCCTGCAACTGAATCGCAACTCACCCCTCGTCACAGGTTTGCGGGAGGGAATTCCCTCCAAGATCGCGGTACAGCAGCATATGAATAAACATCAAGGACGATCTTTCCATGACAGATCCAAACACAGTAATGATACAGCAGTGTTCATGTCACATACGTATCGGGAGCGTAGGTGGTGGGAGTGGGGGACTGGAATGGTGCCGGGGTAGCGAACGCGTCCGGAGATTGGATAATGATGTTCACCTGCAGGCCACGGACGGTGACAGCAGTTGGTGTATCAAGTCATCGAGTCATCGAGTCATTTGGACGGCCGGGACAATCTCTTCGCGAGGAAGAAGTTCGGATAAGACTGCTGTTTCTCAAGAAATCAACACAGCATATGATGGAACATCCATCATGGGCGAGCTCGTAGCACAAAACAATACCGGTTTCAGTATTCGTGATATGGCACACTAAACGCGATAAGATAAGCCATTGGAGAAATAGCTTCAACTTGAACTACGGTAGTGACGTATATCTAGAACATTCCACGGATGGTTGCAGAACGTGTTTTTTCCTGGATCGGCACACGTTCCTAGAAAAATTCTCAGGAAA